AGAGAACTGGAGCTCTGTCAAAGAGACAGAAGCCAGAGCAGAACTACTTCTGAAGAGCATTCTGCTTCAAAAACTACGCACAACTAAAGACTGCCACACATTAATCTGGCTCCACGCATATGGCTGTCACACATTATGACGTTTTCATAAAAAAAAAATTAAATTTTTTTTAATTCTTATCCAGAAAAACAGTTTTGCCATTACCAACGCCTCTGAAGCAGCACTAAATCTGTTATTTTTTTCATTATATCACAATGTAGTTCATCCTAACTTTAAAAGAGTGAAGCATAAAATACACTTCAGCTGAAATACCGGGTATGACAAAATCACCAATTATGATTCATAAAGCAAGCTTAACTCCCGAGCCAAGAATAATTTACATTTTAGGATAATGAAGAAAAATATGATAACCAAGAGAGTGTAGATGCATCATTATCATCTAGTTATATAACAAACAGACCATGATCAACTATTACAAGGGTAAGCAAACAACAGATAAAGTAATAAATAAAAAGGCGCCAGTAAGTTAACAACAGAAACGATTCCAGCAAAACCTGATTCCCTCAGTTAAATGTCAATGCTGACCTCCAGTGGCACACTGAATTCACCCTCTATTAAAAGAAACTGCTTAGACCTTTTAGAATTAATAAGAAAGTCTTTATGTATGAGAACAACACAATCAGAGCTTTATACAAAACTTTCACAATCAAAAACATCACTGAATGTCCCAAAGCACTGCATACTAATGTTGATGTATAAGTATGAAAAGTACTTAAAATCTACACAGAGACTGTTTTAAAACATATACAAACTCAACAGTCTTTTATATTATGAACTGAAAAGAACAGCACAATTACACATAAAACAACTGATCAGTATATGAAAATGTAATGATTGAGATAATAAAAAAAGCAGAAAATCTTCCAAAAAGGTGTGTTAAATTGGGTGTTGTTAAACTGTGCAGATCTAGTCAGTTGATGTTTAGCAGCTACTAGTGTAGTACATTTGCTCAGATCCACAACTTTGGAAAGTGAACTTTGCAAATTCATTGATCATCCTCATGGATTGTACTTATAAAGCTTTGGGTTATTATCTTTAAAACCCGTTACTCCAATCTTCAGTGTCAAATGATCCTTCAAAAATCACACTGATTGATTTGGTGCTCAGTTGAAAACAGCTGAAACAGTTGTGCTGCTTATATTTTTGGTAAATTTTTTCAGGATATGTTTATGAATAGAAAGCTCAAAAGAACAGCATTTATTTGAAATCTTTTGTAACATTATAAGTGTCTGCTGTCACTTTTGATCATTTTAATACATCCTTGCTGAATAAAAGTATTATTTCTTTCACCTTTTGAATGGCAGTGTATCTGCAGGAGGAATCAGATTCCTTTACTATCATCTTTTCAGAGGGATAGATGCCAGCTATATAAACAAAGAAACTGAAGTCCAAAATTTGTGACAATGGCACATTTTTGCCCTTCGATTGAAGCCAAAACTGAATCTTCTCAAAGCAGTTCCATAACAGATTTATATTGATCTTCTCTACAATATTTTGCCCAGAAACATCAGGATGGCATTAGCCTGGGAGCTTAAACATGGCCTTTGTCAGAGTAATCGGACTGCCTTTCTCCTTCAGAGTTCAGAAACGGCCCAACAAAGAAGAGAGATTACAGCTATAATTTTCTTAAAGCTGCCCCTCTGCCTTCATGGATTGCTCGGGTCATAACACAAATATCAAGTTTGACATTTAGACTCAGCAAAGAAAGGACATAATACCTCACTACACAGAAATGGATAATTGTAGGAGCAGTGGGAGGTCTCCTATTGATGAGGTTAGACTCAGTACACTGATTGCTAGGGATGTGACGATATCCTCGCAAAACAATTTGCAGTGTTTACATGCTGTTTATTGCTGCATATAATTCATTAAAATAGAAGTTTAATTTCATAAAATACAAGTTTACTTCAAAATGCACCTACATTTTTTTAATTTTGTGTTTTTCGGTTGAATAAAAGACAATTTTTTCCTATTGAGGATTTCTTTAAAAAAAAGTCTAAAAATCTTGTCTCGTCTCATTCTCGTGAACCCAGTCTCATGTCTCGTCTCGTGGGATAAGTGTCTCGTCACACCCCTACTGATTGCAGTCTACCTGAAAAGGTGCTCTTCTGGTAACTATGACAACAAGAAAGCAAAGCAAAAAAAAAATGATCCTGCTCAATAGACAGTGGGATAATGTCACTAGCCTTTTCACTGGGTATTTGATAGAAAATGGCTGTTCTCATGTGACATAAGGTATAGTGTGTGAGACAATTATCTGGGACATGTAAACATTTGGCAACCTTCCATCAGTGTCCAATCAACTTATTAATTTTTTATGAATTGTTAACTTAACTCTCAAGTTGAATTGCACAGACCTAACAATGTCTTCCTTTCAGCCAATAAGATACTCCTATTGTGAACACCAAATAACATTAATATCCAAGAGCAAGACCTTCCTCCTGAAGCTAAAGGTAAAGCATATAAAACAAAAAGTTCTAATACAAAGTTATGATAAAATAAAATGGAATGCAAAATCAATCTCTGCAATTATCAGGCAATTATCAGTTTCTGCTATCTGATTCTGTGAGCATGCAGACTAAGCAGCTTGATGTTAAGCAGCCATAACATGCAGGTATTATCAAACATTCAAAATTGCTACAATGTCCCTTGAGCACAAATTATCATTTTTAGTTTGTTAATTCATTAGAAAGCATACAAAACATGCACACTAATTAATAGCTGTTCAAATATAAGTATAATCAGTTGTTGAAATGCAATCCTTTCTACTGCAACATCACTGTCTTCCAATATTATATGGGTTATCATTATCATATCACAATGTTTGGCAATAGCTACATCCAACTCAACTACTTTCATATGCACTTTGATTATATAGTTAGTTTATAAGTACACTCTTTTATAGTAGCCTACACAGTTGATATTCTGTGTCAATGCAACACATTAAGATGCACATATTTTTTTATATCTTTTTTTTTCAATGACTGAAGTAGGCTACTTCATTTTGATGATCGAAGTACAGATTTTTCTCATTATATACTTTTAAAAAATATATTACTTATCATTTATTTTTCTATATTATTATAAAAAATGTTTAGATATTTTTTTTAAATGTGAATGTCTCTAGGGGACATGAGATTTTCATGAGATTTTAAGAGAGTTCAATTAAATGTTCTGTCTTTTGTCAGTTAAATAAAATATTATATTTTTGCTGCTTTTGCGAGTTAAAAATGTAACTGGTTGTGTAAAATACACACATAATATTGTAATATTGATGTATCGATCACAGGCCCCTGAATTTAATCAAAAGCACAACTGTATTGAAGCATGTTTGGACGTATAACAAATATTGCATCGCTGGCAAAAAGAACCGACCGTGATGAAACACTCTATTTACATCCTATTTTTCCTAGTATACAATAGTTTATATGATTCTGGCCATTTTATAGATTTCACATTTAATTGACTTTTCTGTACAATTTGTAAAACCACATGAATAATTACAATATTCTTTCATCATTACTTACCTTCCAGTTGTTCCAAACCTGTGAGTTTCTTTCTTCTGTTTAGCATAAAAGAAGATATTTTGAATAATGTTAGTAACCAAACAGTTGCTGGTCCCCACTGACTCCCACAGTATGAAAAAATATATATAGCATATACTATGGAAATCAATAGGGACCAGCAACTGTTTAGTTACAATTCTTTAAAATATCTTCTTTTGTGTCAAGCAGAAGAAGAAAAAAAACTCATACAGGTTTGGAACAACTTGAGGGTGATTAAATGATGGCTGAATTATAATTTTGTTGTGAACTATCCCTTTAATTATAACAGATAAAAAAAAAAAAACATTTTAAAGTGTATCCCTACATATAGTTTCGGGAAAGATTGCAGTTTTATGACATCACCAAAAGCATATGACTACATAATATGCATGTGTCGTGCATCACATGACATGCCCACAGACCAAGCTTACTGATGGGATAATGGGATGAGGGGCCATCTCAGGGGCCATCCCTGGGGGCCCCTGAGCAACCGGGCTGACCACCTTCCTGTTACATAAAGGGTCACAATTCATCTCAGTTTACGTCACACTTTAAAAGTCTGTACGCAAGTATTACAGTATTGCTAAAAATAGATGTACAACATACAAAGTCTGACACACCTATATGATAACTGAAAGTACCAAAGTCTTTCAAATGCCCTAGCACTTTACAACAGAACCAGACTCAAAAAGATTCTGTCAAAATACTGACAACTCAACTTCTGAATAAAATACATTCTGAAATATACTGCAGACAAGGTTGTGGAAAGTTCAGTTCTCGTCCTCTCACGACAACACACCTCAAGATGGGCAGACAGGGAACTTGTTTCCAGCTTCGCGTGGCGAGAATGACAGCAAAGCCTAACATGATTCAGCATATCTCGGATTACTCTTACATCTGTCATAAAGGAACAAACTGAATATCATCCGTAATGAACGACTACATCTCAACTACAGATCCCAGACCAGCATTAAATTAAATCTAGCACATGATGTACTCAGTGATGCAGTGAAGTTTAGTCAAAACCTCTCCAAACAAAGCAGCCAGTTAGCCAATCCGGTTACATTTATTCCAGATTGTATCACAACAGCATGTGTGTAGAGCTATTCAAATGGGAATCTAGCTGAACATATGCATTTATAAATATTTAAATATAAGTTAAGCTTTTGAAATAGCAAATAGCTATATGATCATAACATCATTAGCAAAGTAAACGTAAACATTTAGCAAACATTTCTGTCCACTGCATATAAAAATACTTTGGTATGGTTCATTAAAACCATTTAATTGGTATAATCTACAAAATGGCAAGTTTAATAAAGCAGTTAGTGGGGAGGGGCTGCTATGTGACAAGCTAACAAACCAAAGCGCTATTTATATATTTCACAGACTTACAGTAATAAGCGACCACCGGATCTCTTTTCTCATGTTCCTGCGCTGTTCTTAAATGGTGCTGGATCGGTTTCAGCTGCGATGGGAGCGCCATCCCGAAGAAAAGAAACTGTTACAAACTTCTAGGATTAGCAAGGGCCAAAAATAGCTAATAACAAAGATGACAGGCGCTCGCGAAGGAGCCGCTTCCGCGTCTTCAATTGAACGCGCAGCCACGCCTTTACTGACCTCTATAGGTGTGGAGTGGGAAATGACCGACATGATCAGTGCTTAGCCTACTTTCATTCCGCGTTGTAGACATATTGGACTCTCTACACACAGTACAAAAGCTATTACTCAAACAGCTGTGGTGTTGAACAGTGGGAAGGCAACTGTGGGAAGATGTGCAGGCCAGACCTGCTGTCAGATCTCCACAGATGTTTCATTTATGCATAAATAGTATTCTTATAATAAATAGTTACCCGCTGACACAAAATAAGAGATCACAGTATGCCATTTTGTACCTGAGATGAAACACTTAGCTGAAATAACAAAAGTTGGATGGATGCCTGATAAAAACGTACAGATACAGATACTACAAACACAAGATAATGCACACAAAACTATATGGAAATCAACAGCATGATGAATATACCTATGTGCATAACTAGGTACCATGGACCATTCAATAATGTTTTTAGAAACTGATGCACTATTGCATGTACTTATTCTTCCTTAAGAAGAATGACATTTAAATCAAATAATATTTGTCAAAATAGTACTTGCAATTTGTGTAGTACTTCAATATCGAAATCTGAAAATATTATTGCAAAGATAATAATTACCTACCAAATATTTATGTGGGTTTGGATTAGATTACACAAGTTTAAAAAAAAGAGTGTCTCCTGCTAGAGAGGTGTTTTTTAGGCTTAAAAAAATCTGAAAAGCTAAAAAGATTAATGAGTCCCTTGCCATTAAGTAGGCTTGTTTTGTTTTGATTATTCCAGAAAAGGAATAAGTTGTCTTGTTTTAAAAAAGCATCCTGTGTCTACCACCAAGAAATGCAGAGGTATGTGGGTTTATGTCCTGTCTGTCATTCAGAGACCCAGAGAACACATAAAACAAACACTGCTGAAGCATCACTCAAAACACTTCCTAAATTCTCAAGTCACTGGCTGGTTTAAATAACCGAGTCTTTGGAACAGAATCTCAAAAATCTCAGCGATACAGAGAAGTATGGTGATGATGGTGAAGGTGTACATCGCACTGAGGAAGATAGTCTTCTCAAAGTGTTCAGGGACCATACACTTCGAGATGTTGAAGATCTTTGCAAGGGCACTGGCATCACACATATAAGTAGGATCAACCAGGAACCCAAAAAGGTGGCTCTGAAGCCAAAATGCTAAGACTTCCAGAATTATTCTCAACAGGACAGAGATGATGTAGAAGACTGTGGACACTGGCCGCTGAAGGATCTCCTCCTGGTCTATATTTTTACAGGCAGCATAAAGATGAAACACAGCTCCAGGTACCAAGACAGAGACTAGCTGCAATGCCCAGAATACCTACAAACAGACAAAAAAAAACAAAACCTTTTTATTACTTTTCTGTCTTTAGGTTTGTTTGTTTTTCACTTTGTCATTTCATCCTATAATATGGTTTTTATTTGGATGAAAAATGAAAATATGCTGACAATTTAGTCAGCCTCATGCCATCCAAGACGTAGATACGTTTGTTTTTTCATTTGAACAAATGTGGAGAAATGTAGAATTACATCACTTGCTCACCAGTGGATCCTCTGCAGTGAATGGGTGCCAAACAGCTGATTAAAAACATCACAATAATCTACAAGTAATCCACACGACTCCAGTCCTTATTGTCTTGTGACTTGTAAATCTGTGTGTTTGCAACAAACAAATCCATCATTAAGACGTTTTAAACCAGTGCTTCACTTCAATTAAAGTAATGTTAAGATGTTAACTGATGGCCTGGAGTCGTGTGGATTATTTATGGATTATTGTGATGTTTTTAAATTCACAAAGCTTTTTATTTCTGGTTCTCAGGAGGATATACAGAGAATTCTGTTTAACGTATCGTTTATTTAGTTATCATATATTTTAAGGTGTAATTTGTAAATATTTTGCCATACTAATTCGTTTAATTAATTATAGGCTACATTTATGTCAATTTTGCTTTTCTGTTTTTATTCTATTATACAGTATATTTTCATCAATAAAGAGTTATAATAATCAAGTTTTCATTTGTAAATGTTGTACAATGTTACTGTCATAAAAGAGCCCCTCATAAAGTTGCAAATTCCTGTTATCTAATAGAGTATTTTTAAATTGTATTCTCCTTATAATATGTGTATCACATATACGGAAAGATGTAAACAAAAAAAGAATGACATGACTATTTTAATAGATACGTTTGTTTTTTCATTTGAACAAATGTGGAGAAATGTAGAATTACATCACTTGCTCACCAGTGGATCCTCTGCAGTGAATGGGTGCCAAACAGCTGATTAAAAACATCACAATAATCTACAAGTAATCCACACGACTCCAGTCCTTATTGTCTTGTGACTTGTAAATCTGTGTGTTTGCAACAAACAAATCCATCATTAAGACGTTTTAAACCAGTGCTTCACTTCAATTAAAGTAATGTTAAGATGTTAACTGATGGCCTGGAGTCGTGTGGATTATTTATGGATTATTGTGATGTTTTTGTCAGCAGTTTGGACTCTCATTCTGACGGCACCCATTCACTGCAGAGGATCCATTGGTGAGCAAGTGATGAAATGCTTAATTTCTCCAAATCAGGTCAATCAATGAAGAAACAACCTCATCTACATCTTGGATGGCCTGAGGGTAAATCAGATTTCAGCACATTTTCATTGAACTATATCTTTAATTTATCTCAGTGGAAGTGATCTCTTAAGGGCTGATTTTTTTTACATCCATGTTTTGATTATTGGATTTCTGAAATAGTTTCAAGGGTACCGTAGACTACACATACCTAAATGCCAAATCTTGCAGTAACATGTTTAGATTAGTAAAATGAATTAATGAATTAATAAAAAGCTGTTAGCTTCCCAGAATTCATCTGTTTTTCTTCATTTCTACTTTCTACTTCTTCCTGCATCCATTGTCAATTTTGCCTGTCCTTTCATGCATATTTTGATACCACAATAGCAGATTATTAAATCAAAATACTTTCAGAAACTTTTACCTGAGGTGTTATAGGCCTGAACTGGTTGTAACAGTAAAGGTTTATTTCCCTTTTGTCTGGATCACAGCTGAAGTGGAGGGCCTCATTACCATAGACGGCGAATCCAAGGACTCCAAGGAAAAATGTACGCACTGAGCCAAAAAACAGCGTGTGGAACTGGCCTATCACTGTCGGAGGCCTGAGCTGAAATATGCAATGAAGAGATTATAACATGCAAATGCAAGACATGCATCCACTAAAAAGCTTATATTGAATTTTTCTAATTTTGCATATAAAGATAAAACTTTACATTGTATACTTACACATCCTTCATAACAGTTTTTGATGTAGTTTAATGACATAATTTGGCTTCACAACTCTCACAATTCTATGGTAGCTTGTCACCATCATTGCCGGTCTTCTAAGCCTCAGGCAGAGGCAGATGGCAATTCTGAACCTCCAAATGACCTTTCGCTTTAGAAACCCCTTGTCAATGCATTCTCTTTTTATCCGCAGTGCCTTCATCAATTTACTCACACAGTGCAAAAAACAAAAAAAAAAACAAAAACAAAAAGGAAAATAACAAAGGCCACAGGACATGTGGTCAGCCCATAGGCTAATCCCTATTCAACTCTGTCAGCGAAAAAAACAACTCTTGTATCTCACAGTAGAACAGAGCAAACATGACAATTGCAACGAAATGCAATTGCACCACTGGGCAGATCACATAATGGAAAACAACAATTCATAAATGACTCAAATTCCTGAGCACACCTTAAACAGGCTATTCAAATCAAGGTAACAATAAATGGCATTTAAGTTAAGTGCATTTTTAAAACAATGGTTGGTTGAGTAATGATATCTTGGGATTTTGAGACGCTCTAAGACACTTGCAAATTATATTGATGTATATAGTTCCATAAACATATATATTTTTCTTTATTACATATATCTATATATTATATTTGTAGCTACACATCTACCTCAGTTAACTGCTTAATAGGCCTGTTTCTCTAGACGTTCCTGCAGTGTTTCTACTCTAAAACTACAGCACGAGTAACGTTCAAACGGTAAGAAACGTTTCACAAACGTTAAATCGTCTATTAAAAGTCCACACACCAACCGTAATCCAGGCGGAGAGCTGTTCATCCCCCTTCTTAAATCAGAACCGAGGTCCTGCTCTCATGTCACTGCGTCCCGAGGGAAAGACAGACCTGCTGGAAAAGCAGCATGTTGGGGGCGCCTTTCTGACGGCAAGCTTTTTCGACTCGTAAACCAAAGAGCAAACAGACAAGCAAGGCATCAAAGAAACGTAGTAAAGAATAGATCATTATGGCCACAGAGATGCTAATTACCGAAATAAGAGTACTGGGGTCTGGCGGGCATACGGTCATTGCGCACGTGATGCACACACAAGCATAGGTGTCAATCATGCGCACAGAGATCATGGTATAATAGAGGACTCTGTTATATGAGTTTACATTATTAGTGCGACACCATTGCCGTGCTATAAATATGCGTTTGTCTATTTATAGCCTATTGTTTGTGCATTAAAAAGTCACTGAAAATAAAAAAGCAATTTTCCAATTTCTTTGAAAATAAAAGTAGGCCTAAATGTGTAGATTACGTTCCATACGTCTGACTCAAAACTAATTTAAAATGCAATTCTTTATAAATAAATAAAATGCTTGAATATGCCTCTTCTCTAACGAACGTGTTTTACATTTCTCTGGAAATTGCGAAAAAGAAAAAAAAAATCTGATTAATGATGACTGAATCCTTTGGGCATAGCTAAAGGTTTTTTTTTTTTATAGAATGTGGCAGCTATGTGCGTCAGTGCTGGTTTTGGATGAATGAGAAGGAAACCCATAAACGGCATGCACCTTACTGCAACTAAATATTTCAGTTGCATTCTTCTCTAATTCGATTTTTCGTCTCAATGCTGCTTTTTACATGTTGCATCAAGCGCGTCATAAATACCAGCAGGTGTCACTAAATCAACAGATGACATTTCCGCATGCAACCCAGATCGGTTGCGAAATATATCCATTTAGCCAATAACCAAAGGCCACATTTACACCAGACAACATCTGTGTTGTGGTAAACCTACACAATTAGATAGAAATGATTTTGTTCGATGTGAGTCAAGGTGAGTAACCAGTCCAGTTGACCAGTCCTAGAGAAAGAGAAAGAGTGGGGCATGTGATGCTTTTCATTCGTAGTCTAAAACTCATTCAGGTATGCAAGGCTCATGACAAGTTCAGAATTTGATTGTTCCCTTCGCTGATCTTTAAGCATAGCAGAACCAGTAAAAGTTGTCAAAACACCACATCATTTCTGAATAAGTTTCTGGAAGTTTAAATTCAGCCTTCTATATGAGGCTACCAAAGCTTAAAGTCTTTGTATTCAGCATGGCACAAAGACGAGTTTTACAGACCAAAAGCAAGGACCAAGACAGGACCATGATTGTTACGGGGTTGACGAGACGTGAGACTTGCGGATCCATTCGCAGAGCTTTATTAGATAAAGACAGAGACGTGGTCATACAGCAGGCATGGGTCAGATGAGGGCAAAGAAGGGATCAGAGTGAGTGTTAAATAGTGAGGGAGTGATATGAAACAGCTGGGTGCAATCAGTGTAAACAGGTGTGTGCAATTCGTGCTGAGTGCAATCAGTGCAATGCATGATGGGAAATGTAGTCCGGGGTGATGTGCAACAGTGTGTAGTGCGAGAGTCAATGAATAGGAAAGTTCGTTGACCGGATTCGTGACAATGATATATTGGTTCTGAGACCAAGGCCAACTGAAAATTCTGATTTCAAGATCTGATTCTGTCTAGACAAGGAACCTTTCTCATCAGCATTTATAGTCCATAAATGTCTGTTTGCAGTCAGTGTCTGTTTGTTTTAATCCTCATAAGGTTAAGAAGCCAAATCTAAACGGAGGTTTGAATAAAAAATCTCTTTATGTAATTCTTTGGTTACATGCAGTGACACACGACACAAGCCACACAAAAAGTCTTCTCCATTTGCGACACATTTTTGCAAGGGACTGAAGAATTTCCGTTGTGCTATCTTTTTTCGTTTTATCGTTTTTCCACTCTAGTTGTCCAGACCCAGTTGGCTTTCTGATTACGTATTTATTGCAATTCTTCCCTCAGTAAATCCCCCCTGCGAGTCATAGAAAGAGCATGAAAGAGCTCCAGCCGAACCCCGATAAGGGAGCGCGCGGACAAAAGCTGCACCTGACGAGTCCAGAAAGCACAATCCCAGTTTGCGCTACTGATGAGCGACTGCACCATATGACCAACATCATTCAGAGATGGGGCTGCGTTTTATGAAATAAATAAATACACTTTAAAACAGGACGTGATAGATAGATAGATAGATAGATAGATAGATAGATTTATAACTGTTTGGTGCTGCGCTCTGCAACACTGTCCGCATTGAAGTGGTGGCTCCTATGGCAAGCCAATTTAACATTGATTCCTTTAATAATATATATATTATGCTTCTAATACTTGTTTTCTAATTAATAGTAATAGTAAAACTGGAATAGTTGCCAGAACCGAATACACACTAGTAAAAAGTGAATCGTGATTTGTGAACCAAGACTAGTGGCAAAGAATGAATAAATACTAGTATCAAATGACTGGTTACGTGACAAGCCAAGTCAAGTCACCTTTATTTCTATAGCACTTTATTCAATACAGATTGTTTCAAAGTAATAAACAGGAAAATAGCATAAACTCAATTATGAGACAATTCCGATTCTGTAAAGCAGCTCTAAGACAAGTGCCATTATTTAGCTTAAGTCAGTCTAGTGTTGATTCAGTTCAATAAAAGTGTAAAGTTAATCTATTTTGACATGAGTTCATATCAGCTACGATAGATAGATAGATAGATAGATAGATAGATAGATAGATTTATAACTGTTTGCGCTCTGCAACACTGTCCGCATTGAAGTGGTGGCTCCTATGGCAAGCCAATTTAACATTGATTCATTTAATAATATATATATTATGCTTCTAATACTTGTTTTCTAATTAATAGTAATAGTAAAACTGGAATAGTTGCCAGAACCGAATACACACTAGTAAAAAGTGAATCGTGATTTGTGAACCAAGACTAGTGGCAAAGAATGAATAAATACTAGTATCAAATGACTGGTTACGTGACAAGCCAAGTCAAGTCACCTTTATTTCTATAGCACTTTATTCAATACAGATTGTTTCAAAGTAATAAACAGGAAAATAGCATAAACTCAATTATGAGACAATTCCGATTCTGTAAAGCAGCTCTAAGACAAGTGCCATTATTTAGCTTAAGTCAGTCTAGTGTTGATTCAGTTCAATAAAAGTGTAAAGTTAATCTATTTTGACATGAGTTCATATCAGCTACAGAAGCATTGTCGTTATTCAGCTTGTGCCGGTTCAGTGTTGATTCGATTCAGTGGGATAAAAGTGTAGATGTTGCAAGATATGATTTACCTAAAAAGCAGCTACAGAAAAGTGTCATTATCCAGCGTTTTTGTGAATGAGAAAATTTGAAATTTAAAACAATAATATTCACTATTGGATTTTTTTTACTAGTAGTCTAAAATATGTGTTAATAACATCAATACTTAATAGTTTGTTTAAAGAGTTAAATGTTAAATTGGTTTGCCACAGGCTCCCCCTTTACTTGTTCCTGCCTGTCGAAAAAGCCAGTCAACTTTTAGGGACGTGGCTGAAGACATCGCTCATTTCAGCACTAAGTTTTGCGGACAGCACCTCTCTCTCTTTCTCTCTCTGTCTCTCTCCCCACTGGACAACTTTTAAAACCCTTTCAACTCCTCTGCTTTCTAACCACTAAAACAAAATATGGATCACAGTTTCTCTGAGGATACCTCAGTTTATGAGAACTTCACAGATGACTGGACATCAGATGGAGGGGAAACGGTGCATTTCATCATTCGTTGCGTTATCCCGTCGGTCTACATACTTATCATAACGGTTGGTTTACTGGGCAACATTACTCTTGTGAAAATATTCATCACTACCAGCGCGATGCGAAGTGTACCAAACATTTTCATCTCCAGCCTGGCCGTGGGAGATCTTTTGCTTTTGGTCACTTGTGTACCAGTGGACGCGTTCAGGTATTTCTATGAGGAGTGGATTTTTGGAACGGTGGCTTGTAAGATGATCCCGGTGATCCAGCTCACTTCGGTCGGAGTCTCCGTGTTCACTCTCACGGCACTGAGCGCGGACAGGTAAGACAAAAAAAATCATCAATGAACAACTGCAATCACGGTCACATTCACTACTGAATGAACGGAAGGTAATGGCATTTAGATATAAGATAATGATGTTAAACCAATAAAACAAGAGAAATGAGCAACAAACGTGATGTAATTTTTGTAGCTTATACATTAATTTTAATAAAATGTTGACACACACGCATATATATATATATATATATATATATATATATATATATATATATATATATATATATATATATATATATATGTTCTTATTTGTTACACTGTTTTTTACAGTTTAAATTTAAATTGTTATAATGTTTTTATTTCTTCTATTATTTAGATTTTTCATTGTTATTATATTTCTACACATATTTCAAGTTTTGGCAATGTCAAGTTTTTCAACAGTCAAATCAAGTTTTTTACAGTCATGCCAATAAAGCAATTTTGAATTGAATTGAATTGAATATATATATATATATTCAGTCGTGGTCAGAATTATTGGCACGCTTGGTAAATATGATCAAAGAAGGCTGTGAAAATAAATCTGCATTGTTAGTCATTTTGATATTTATTAAAAAAAAATCACAAATATCTAACCTTTCATTGAACTAAAACAATTGAAAATGGGGGAAAATCTCATTATGAAATAAATGTTTTTCTCAAATACACGCTGGACACAATTACTGGCAGAATTACTTCCCTAGAAATTCTTATGAGTAAAATATCT